TGTTGTATTTGTGCTGATAAATAAATAAAGGGAGACTAATATAGATCTATTTCAAGCTATTTAGCTCTCATCAGCTAGCCATACCCTCACCGGGATTAGAACCTGTGCTGTATTACATTTTAGGCAGATGTGTTAACCATTAAGCCACAGAGTTCTTCTCCTTATCAGCTGAGCCAGGGAGAAAGGTATACATTTAAAGTCACAACATACATATATATATATACACACACACACACACACACACACCATCTAAGGCTTTATGAATTGGGCTTTGTTCTGTCTTAGACATTTTCTGTATGTTTGGTTTGCGTAGGTCACTCTGCCAATGATGGTTGTTGGCCCTGTAGAAGCAGAATTCATTGCATCTATATTCTGGATAATTCCTTCCTTCAGTTTCTAAATTCAATGTTTATATTCTGACTAATTCCTTCCTTGCATTTTTTTTTAACTCAGCATTTAAGCTCCTTTGCAATTCCTTGTAACGTTCCCTCCATCTTATCTCCCATTTAGTTCCACTTCTGACTACCGATAGTCCTTGCCTCAACGGCCAAAAGGGAGCGCAATGTTTATGTTGTTAAGTGAGACATTTTTTAAAGTGAGTTTTGTCCCTAATTTACTACTTTTCTAGATCCAGTTGTTAAGGGAATCATTCCAATTCTTCAGTTAGTAACATGGTTGTTAAACAAATCTGGCATTGGCTTTGCTCTTCGGAAAGTGGCAAACGCCTGTTCACATGACCCTGGGACATTGCAACAGTCATAAATATGAGTCACTTGCCAAGCATCTGAATTTTGATTATGTGACCATGGGGATGCTGCAACAGTCACAATTGTGAAAAAGGCTCATAAGTCACTTTTTTCAGTGCCGTCATAACTTTGAACAGTCACTAAATGAATTGTTGTAAGTCAAGGATTACCTGTAATTCCCCCTGCCCTGTGTCACACTTTCCTTTCAGGAGTAAATCCTCCTAGTGCTACATTAGTTGCAACAACCTCACATTCAGGAATTGCTCTGGGCGCGATTACCATATTTTTTGGAGTATAAGACGCACCTTCCCCCCCCCAAAAGAGAATGAAAATTTGGGTGCGTCTTATACACTGAATGTAGCCCCACCCACGCACTATTCCCCCCCCCCCTTTGGCCTCTGCCTCCCAGGAATTATCTCCTTGCACCAAATGGGGAAAGTGGGGCTTGCGGAAGCTGCAATAGGCTATAGCAATTCCTGCAGCCAGAAACAGCTGATGATCGGGAAGCGCACTTAAACTGAGAGTGAAACTTGCTGTTTGCTCAAACGAGGCAAATTGCTGGGAGGCAGAAGCAGATATTTTTTTCTTGTGCTAATCAGGCTGTTTGCTGCAAGAAGGTAAGTCAATAATCTTAAATGCCTATAGAATGTTCAAATTATTAGACTTGTTTTTTAAAGACTGCTTTATTATTGTTCTAGACAGCTTAACAAAATGAAAAAGCTTTTTAAAATAAATGCTTGATCTGAAGAGGCCCAATGCTATTATATCTTCTTTTAAATAGCAGAGAATAACTATACTTCCATAAAGCACATCAATTTTAACAGCATCTGTACAAGTATACTCTGAAATGTAACACTACAAATAGTATATATCATCTGTACTGTTTGCTGTTTGTTGCAAGGAGGCAAATTGCTGGGAGGCAGAAGCAGATTTTTTTCCCTTTGTTTTCCTCCCCACTAGGTGCGTCTTATACTTTGGAGCGTCTTATACTCCGAAAAATACGCTAATCTGTGGCATTGCCCTTTTTCTCTTTTAGAACCTCGGAGAAGCTTCTTCTTCTTCTCCTCTTCCTCCTCCTTCTTCTCAGTACAAAGGCGAGATAGTGGTGTCCTTGAAGTTCATCCCACCAGCTAAACATCTCGGTGCAGGAAATGGGAAGAAAGGTGAGGGCTCAGAATATTTAAACAGCTTTTCCTTGGATGAAACAACGAAAAGCAAAAAAAAATCTACTGCATTTGTCCGGAGGCTTTGTTTCCCATTAGTTCCAGATGTTCAAACAAAGAAACCTTTTCTTTTCCACTGAGATGGAGAAAGCTTGACCTATTTGGTGGTGGAAAACAGCTTTTTTAGGTTTCAGATTTTATAGCGGGGTTAGTTAGGGGTGTAAATATTCACCTGGCTCAAGGAAACTGTTTTTTGATGGTTTTATTTTGCGGTTGTCACCAGAGATGGTATTCAGTCAGTTCAGACTGGTTCGGCCGAACCGGTAGTGGAAATCGCGGGTGGGTTTATGCCATCCTATTGTTGCCAGTGACCAGCAGAGCTGGCAGCAAATTCAAACAGTAAGGAGGTTGGGGAGGAACATGGACCAGTCCTGGAGTCTGGGGAAGGCTCTGATGTGGGCTCTATGTTGGAGGCAGAGAGGGGGCCAGGGCCGGTCTGACAGTTATCAGCTGCCTTCGGAGTCAGACATCCGTGAGGCAGACGAACAGTTGGAGCCTGTTCCCAGTGTGCGTATGCGCAGAGTTGCCCGACGAAGGGAACAGCTAAAGAAGAGGGGTCGACTTGGGAGTAAGGCCACAGGTGGACGATGAATGGCCCAGAGGAAAAAAAAAAGGAGCAGAAGGGGAGTGGAGTTTGCAGGAGACAATTAGTTCGCTTAACTGATTCGTGACTCTTTGAGACTCCTTGCCAAGTTTTGCAGAACTCGGCCTGGCAGCTCTCCAAGCCAGATAAGGTCTGTGACCATAAATCCTCCCTTGAAAGACTTTGCTGGATGTGAATGAGCAGAATTCACAGTAAATTAATAAATGGTTTTTTTTGTCAGGACAAGGAGTTTACTTCATGCTCTTGGGAAGCCTCGGTCAGAACATGCAGCCATTAACCTTGTGCCTATTAGTAGCAGGATATGGGATGGCACATAGGTTGGGTTCTCCTTTAGAAGTTTCAGCCAGCAGGAGGAGGGCTGAGGGTGGGAACAGAGTAATGGGAGATGGATTAAAGAGAACTTCAGAAGATGCCTTCTCTAGCTTTGGTCTCCATATCTTCCAATGGAAATGCTAGAGAAGAAAAATCCCACTGCTCTCTTAGCATTTCCATTGGAAGATATGGAGACCAAAGCTAGATAACAATAGGATTTTTCTTCCAATGGTGGTGCTTGGCAGCAGAAGGCATCAGATGAGAATCCAGCAAGGTGCATTCTCTG